GACAGATCAATCCCAGAACAACACAATACCTTGATAATATCAACAGTGGTATTTTTACCCCTTCTAAGGGGATCTCTCGTCCGTCTAGCTCACGTTAGATTTGCTGTTTTCCTTCCATGCTAAAAGCCAGAGGCAAACACATCACTGCTGACCTGCAGACTCTGATTGTTGTTGAGCCACCAAGGTCTGTGTGTCTGTCTGTGGTATTTTCCATTTGATATTTCTTTGCGGTCACTTTTAGAAGATGTGATGGTCTGTTTAGTTTTTTTTTCCAGGTTTGATTATGTTCTGTGACGCTCCTGTCTTATCCTCAGCTCCTGTTTGTTTTAGTTCATGTTTGATTCTGAAAGCCTCTATAATCTGCTGTTTGTTGTGGGCAGTTTCTCGCCGTCTGTTTCATACCCGATCGCTGCTTCTCTGGCAGTCTGTCGTGTCTTTCTCTGATATTATTCTGTCTCGTTCTCAATGTGTCTCTTTATCTTCCTCCTGTTTTGTTTTTCTTTCTAGTGCAGCGACCATGGAGTTTATTCTTTGTTGTTTCAAGCAGCGGTGCACCGCAGGACATAGCATCACGCATCACTTGGTACCCGCCTCGCAGATGTTTTGTATCACTTTGACAACCAATAATTAAAAAGTAATTTTCTATGATCTATTCATTGTCTGCTGTATGCCCCGATCCTCTGGAGTCTGGTTTTGTATATTCTGTCATTTCTTTAGGTGTTTGCTCTCAGCTGCAGCCTGTTAAACATCACATCACACACCTGTTCTACAACTACCAGCTACCGCCCCTTTACACACAGACATCCCAGTACATTAGAATGTTAGTGAAAGTTTAATTTGCTTCTTCTTTTTTAGGTTCTAAAGTGGTTGGTAATTTAAACAATAATTTACTATACATTTATAAAGATTCTTTATGTCATGGTGGGATTAATGGACCTAACCCACATGCAGAACACACACACAGACTGGAATAAAAGTTCAACAGTTTATTGAAACATCAATGAATTATTCAGGCTGATGCAGGGAAACAGATCCAGAACTGGTCAAACAGGGTTCTCTGCAGATGGGGACAGTTCGGTTAGCAGTCTTCCAGAGAACTTGCAGATTGTGTGTTTGCAGGTCTATACCATATCAGAGAATGAGCAGAGCGGTGGAAGAGGGGAACCAGGAGGGTCCAGAGGCTGAAGGCAGGCAGAGGGCTAGGCAGAGGCAGGGCAGAGCAGTTAATCTTACTGAGCAGGTTCAGAGCTTCTCTCTCAGCTCTTTCTGAGAGCAGGCAGGCAGGTTTCAGACTGAGTTGGATTTCCAGGGTTCTTCTGAGAACAGACAGCTTGGTTTCACGTTAGAGAAACTCTTCCAGGTTTTCAGGTTTCCAGGCAGGTTCTTCCTGAGAAGCAGAGAGGACAAAAAGCAGATTAGGTTCAGGTTCAGGCTCCAGGGGAGTCAGAGATTCAGACAGGCAGGTTGGCTCAGGCTTGCTAACCGTAACTGGTTTAACACTCTGGCACTGGAGTGTTGCACTGCCACTGCTTATATGCTGGTCTCCTGATGAGCAGATGAGAAACAGCTGGTGAAGTCAGTTCCAGCTTCAGGAGACCAAGAACGCCCTCTGGAGGAGAAAGGCAGACAGAACCCAGAAACCAACAGAAAAACAAACCCCAGGAAGGGATCCTTGGCGCCCTCTGGTGGGCAAGCCTCCAGATCCCAACAGGACCCCCCCACAAGGGCGGATACAAGACGCACCAGAATAGTCCATGAAAAAGAAAAAACAAAAAACAACCCACCCAGGGTGGGCGGAGGGGGCAACAGGCAAGGAGGGCAAGAAAATATGAAAACAGACGAAAGCAGAGTCTATGAGAAACAGCTGGTGAAGTCAGTTGTAAAATTATCTCAAATATGTTGAATTCGTTGGTAACATATTCATCTTTTTTAAGTACATTTAACTCAAACATGTAGATGCATCAGTATTCTTTGTGTGTTAATTAGGAATAAGTTAAATAACTTTAAGAAGGTCATATTTGGTTGCAGGTTGTTAAATGCCAAAATCTGAACCCTATATCATGTGTAAAAAAGTATTCAACTATTCACCCTAGTTAAATAAACGGAGATCAATGGATTTCACTCAGTCGGCACATTTATTCATATCTTTGCAAAGAGAGAACAGTTCATTATACGGCCCTGATGGCACAGCATTCTGCCCTGTTCTGCTAGAGCAGCGTTTGTCCCCCCTTACTTACAACAATGGAAAGGTAGTCAGAGTCAAAACAAATTACAGACACTTTGGTTAAACAGTAACATGTTATGAATAAACCTTGAGAAAGAATCTGGTTTGTTATGGGAAGAAGCTATGTCTGGTCTACAAACACCAGCCTGCAGGGAATTCTGTGGCCTTGAGAGAGAAACAGACTGAGTGAAAACTTTTATAGTGAGTAATTAGGATAAATTAATATATAATAGAAGAGAAAAACAAGTTTGCCGACAACACGTGTCAATAGTTGCTTGGGGTTATTGTAATGCCTACAATGTATAGATGGCAAATCTTACAAGTAATAGGGTGTCTTTGTGTTTAGAGTTAGAAATAAAGAAAAAACATAACAAACTTTGCAAAATAAAACATAAACATTTTTTGTTTTTGTTAACAAAAAAACTTAAAGATCATTAATACAATCTTATGAGTTGGTGAAATAAGCTATTTTGATTAGACTAAAATCTAATCTAATCTTTTTTAAAGTCAACTTAAAATTTGAAGGCATCTGATTACCTCTAAATCTTTGAGTTCTGGTCGCTTATTCTGGTTCACAGTGTTTTGGGATTAGGGCTGGAAGATATGGCCAAAATATATCAGGATATATATCTTAATTTTGGTCGACACGATATAATTCGAATATCATTGTAAGCAATAAAAAGTCTCAAAAAAATGACAACAAAGCCCACAACACATTACTATGCCAGGTCCAATAAACTCATCCTGTATAAAAATTCAGTAAGTGAAATGCACATTTAACCAGATGATTATTATTATTGTCTGCTAAACCAAGCCTTAGAAACCTAGGGGTTATTTTTGACAAAACATTGTCCTTAGAGCAGCACTCAAAACTGCTGACAAGGAACTGTTTTTACCAACTGAGGAAAATCTCTAAACTTAGAACAATTGTGTCCAGAGATGATCTTAAAATGATTATCCACGCCTTTGTGTCTTCCCGTCTAGACTGCTGTAACAGTCTATTCTCATGTCTAAACAGAAAGGAAGTTGTCTCGTCTTCAGCAGGTCCAGAACTCTGCGGTGAGGTTACTGACGCGTAAAAACAGAAGGGCTCATATTACGCTGATTCTAAAAACTCTTCATGGGCTCCCAGTCTCTTTTCGGTTCCAGTTTAAAATCCTGGTACTGACCTGCAGGGTCTTTCACGGTCAGGCTCCCTCCTACATTAGAGACTTGTTGTGTCCATATACCCCCTCTCGGGGGCTGAGGTTTCTGGACCAGAACCTGCTCATGGTCCCTCATACTCGTTACATCACCAGGGGAGCTTGCTACTTTCAGGCGGTCGCGCCTGCGCTCTGGGACGGTCTTCCACTTTCCTTGCGCTTACTTGATTCTTGTGATGTTTTTAATCTGATGTTTTTGAACTGAAAACCTATTTGTTTAAGAAAGCATTTGAATTCCAGTAGATTAAGGGTTG